CCCGCCCCGGGCGCGCGCTCCCGAGCCCGCTGCCCGCTCGCGGGCTCTGTCTCTGGGGGGCGAGGCCGGAAGGGGGACCCCAGGGCGCAGATTCGGCCGGGCGGGGGCTCAAAATGGGGCGGGGGCCGTGGCGACGCGGGCGCGGGTCCCTCTCCCCTGGCCCGCCCTTCCTCCCTCGCTCTCTCGCCCTCCTCCTCGCTCTTTTTTCTTTTTCCGCGAGGCCTACTCGACGCCAGGGGTTTGGGTGCGTGTTGGGGAGGGGGAGGGGGAGTCCCACAGGGCTCGGGAGACTGCGACAAAAAGAGGGTTTCGGGGACAGGAAATGGGGTGGCGGGCAGAGGGAGGGGGACCCGCCTCCGTGGGGTGTGTGATTTGTTGGGAGAGGGAAAAGGAGAAAGAAAGGGGCCAGAAGAGGAGGGGGTGACGCGGGGGGGGGCGCCGCGGTGGCTGAGGGGGCCTCGGCAAGGGGAGGCTTTGGCGGGGGAATGGCCGAGGAGAGTGGGGGGGCGGGTGACATCAGCCCCTCGGAAGGGATCGGAGTGGTAAAGGTGGTGCAGTGAGGGGGAGGGGGCGCGGGCGAGTCGTGGCGCCGGAGTGGGGGGGAGGGAGCGCGGCGGCCGCTGGGCGCGACTTGGTGCGTTTCGGGCAGGACAGGCTGTGTGCGCGGAGCAGACGTGTCCCGGGCCGGGCCGGGCCGGGCCGGGCCGTGGAAGGAAGAGAAGGAGAATCAAATAAAATAAGACCAAAAAAAAAAAAAAAATGGAGTTAGTACGCTAAGTGCCCAGTGAAGCCAAATGACACGTCATTTTTACAGTATGACCTTTTTTTCCCCTTCCAGACATGCAGGCTTTTTGAAAAGCAAAGAAGAGAATTAATTGTAGCAGATGCCCCCCTCCCGCAGCAGCGCCCCCCCAACCCTTAACACACACATATTTTCCTGTTAGTCGGCCACATTGAGAGTGCTTTGTGAAAAAAGAAAAAAAAAGACATTCACAAATCAGATAGAACTGGAAAATGACATTTGTCTGTAAATGGCTTCTTGGTCTGGAAATGGCGTTTTTTTTTGTCCTTTTCAAGGTGGGAGGGGGGATTGAGAGGGTTTTAAGGAGAAGACTTTTTTTCCAGGTGGAAGGAGATGAAAAGACATTAATTAGTTTGTCAAGTGCCATTTGGTTGTTTAGTTTTGGGTTTTCTCTTTTGATTGCGGTTTTTCCTCTTTGGCCAAAAAAAAGGGGGGTGGCGATTGTTAACTGTAAGGAGATGGCTTTTTCTCCTTTTTTCTTAAAGGTGCTGCTTTGGGGAAAAAAACAAACAAAAGAAACATAAAAGAAATTGTTGAAATGACCAGAAGATAACCCAAGCATTAATTAGTATGGAAGTTTTCTACTTCCTTAGTAATTTGGCTATCTGAGTTAATTTGTGGATTTGCTAGGTTAAGACCTAGTTCATGGTCAGATTTCAACAAAAATGCTTGATTATAAAGAATAAAATGTAAAAGGCTGGTTTTTATTTGTGGTGGTGTTTGGTTTGCTTTTCTCGGATGGGTCATGTCTTTGTTCTCCTGGGCCCAGATTTATGTAAAGCAGAAAATTATTAAGGGAAAATACGTCTCTCTGGTGTTTTATGCATTTGCCATTTCAGTAATTAAATAGTACATATGTTGAGGTCATGTCTAAAACTTCTAAAGGTGGAATTATGCTGTGTGAATATTAATATGCATATAAGTGATTTCAAAGTATAAGCCTAGAAAAGTCTAGAATCTTTCTTAGGAGTGCTGTCTTGCTAACTGAATACTAATTGAAAACAAGTGTGATGCTAATGGTACCTTAAATTTCTAACACCTTTGCACAGTGATCCCAAAGTCTCCACTTAAAATTGAAGACTGTTACTCAGATCACACCTTGCATCACTGTGGCCTAATCTTCCTCAGTGCCCTGGTCCATATGGCTACATTTTATCACTATTTATTGACAGCCCCTGGCGCAGTGGTCTGCACCTCAAGCCACTGCCACGCATTTTGCATTTTCAAATGGTGATTCTCACCAAATAATGCCTCCCCCCCCCCCCCCCCCACACACAGGAAACATAATGATGCCCAGAATCCTCTTTTTAATCCATCGTAATTTGATGACATAAAAATTGAGTGAATTACAGTACCACAAAAAGATCTTGAAAAGATTTTTTCAGCCCAGTTCTCTTAATTTCATAAATGTGGAAACTGAGGCACAGATCTCTTTGTGCCTGTAAAAGAGAGGTGTCACAAATTTTAACAATTCTGAAGTAAGAATATTGGAGATTCTGATATTATGTATTCTCTTCATGGAATCTCTTAATAGTGCCTTTAATATTTTAATTTATGAGAGCTAGGCTCATTAAGATAGAGTGTTTGCTTTGAAATCAATGTTTCTGTGGAAACTAATTTTAACTTTTACAGATATTGATTACAGCTTGTGAGAAGGCAAGAGAAGGAGGAATGCTCTGCTCTTTAGGAAGTAAAACAAAACAATAAAAGTGAAAAAGAGGGGTAAAAAAAACCAAACAGGTTTGTGTGGGAGGAGGGCAAAATACTGTTCACACAAGGATTATTTATTGGAGAGAGTGTGCATTTGCAGAAAAGAAAATGAAAAAATAGCAATCCTCCTTCTAGCTTGGTGAAAATTTTTTTTTTTCCATAAAATATATTTTTACAAATGAAAGGTGATTTAAAATGGAGGCGTGTGTTCCTTCTTACTCTTTTAGTTGGGGAGGGCTTTGGGATCTGAAAATTCAGTGGTTTCCAGGAATATTTTTCCTTGTGATTAAAGTCTTGTCCTTTTAATGCTCCTTACAGTCATTGCTACATGTGAATATGGTTGTTTTCAAGCACTACATTTGATATTAAAATGTTTTTCCAGAAGGTAACAGAAAATTGATGGTCTCCCATTTTCCCCAGCAATATGGTTGTTGTATACAGAGGGAAGTAATTGGGAAAGGAGGGTAGATAAACTGTAATGTTGGGGTTTTAGGGGTTGATTTTTAAGTAGCCCAAGGGGAGAGAAACCTGCACGGAAAGAAGCTGCATTGTGACAATGTTGATGAGCTTAGTGCTGCGTCAGAACGTGATCTGGAGGAGACTGCAGTGCCTGGGCATTGTTTGTGAATCCTGGGTATTTTAACCATGAAACATCTGACAAACAATGAATTATGTAGCTATGTTCATTCATGTGCACATTTTACCAGTGAGTGCTCCCATTTCAAGGATTCAGTTTCACAGTTTTAGCTTCAATTTTCTTTTTCCCCCTCAAATGACAAAATTGCGTCATTCCCTCTCTTTGCCCCTTTGCTTGCCCACCCCAAAAATTTTAAAACAACCAAAAGAAAAAAAAAAGACACCTAAAAACAGCAAAACCTTTAATTCTTGTTTGTTGTTCTGATGGTGAAATACTGCAGGTAGACACAGAGCTGGACATTTAATTCACTTTCTCTGCGCCGAAATGTCAAGGAAAATTGCAAGTCTGTTATTTTGTTTGTTTTTTGCGTGTTGCTTCTATGGAAAAAACAGCAGTGCTCTCCCTGCCCAAAGTGTGTGAAATGCCTCCTTCATAACCTGAGACTTACTTTCATTTTCTAGGTGCTGGAGAATCTGGTAAAAGCACCATTGTGAAGCAAATGAGGATCCTGCATGTTAATGGGTTTAATGGAGAGTAAGTGTCATATCTGTGCAGGGGCACAGGAGGAGGAACACATTTGGTACTAACCTTTAGGAAGTTTAGGAAGGGTTGGGGGGCTGGGCAGCCCATTTTCATTTAATTTTTTCAGCCTACATATTAGAAAGTCTGGGGAAGAGCTTGTTAGGGATATTCCCCCCCCCCTTTTAATCTTCAGTACAGCAACAAATAATAATAATAAAGCACCAGGGTTCTTGTAAAACATCTCCTGGTTGGCCCCGTGACAGATTGCCGCAGACCTGCCCGCAGATTTTGGTGCAATGGGGTCTCCAACACGGCTGACACTGGCTGGGTGCCCCCCCTCCCAACTTTGCCGGGCAAGCCCTGCAGAGTGGGGTCCTCCCGCCCCAGCAGATCACTGCACCCTGGTGCAGGATGTTTTAAACCATTATGGAAACACTGTTTCAGTAATATTCTCACATAAAACAAAGTTGGAAGAGGCAGCCCTTGTTAATAATTCCTTATCCCAGTCCCCTTTGGAATTAACATTATGGGCAAATCATTGTTTCCCTTTGTAAAAATCAATAGTCTTGCCTAAAGACTCGAAAAGGAGACATTTAAATGATCGAAAAACTGGGAGTTAAGTACTTCTGGCCGGTTCAAGGAGGATTTTTGCCTTTGAGAAGTCCTTCTAGGCATCTTGGTATGGGACAATCGGACGATACCGCAATGAAAATAAAGACTAAACGAGAGCACATATATTAGGGATGTAAAAGATAAATATGGCGTCATGCTTGCCATGAAGAATGCAAACAGGGGTGGGGGCTCAATAGAATCAGGCAATTGGCTTTTCTCCCCAGACTCCAAATGGGTCCCTCCCTCATTCTCATGTAACAAAATGTGTGAAACAGAAAAAGCTAAATTGACCAGCTTGTTTCCACTGGTGTGAGAGCAGTTAACCCCAGTAGATTACAAACACCTGAAGGCACTAGTTTGCAATTACTAGCTGCTTAGCAGTCCCATTCCCTTTCTTAAACCTGAATTCAGTTATTTATCCCTCAGTTGTATTCCCTTTAGTTTAAAAAGGGGAGATTGGGTCAAAACGGCATAGTTTAATTCAGTTATGCACCAAAGAAACCAAAAACAAACAAATAAAAAACCGTATACTGTCGCCTGCTATGCACTAGGCACCGGGAAACAAAGATGAATTTTATCACCTCTTAGAGGTAAAAGACCTGTGCCGAAGGCTGCTCTTTATGGAAAATTCTAGAATTTCTTAGATAAGAGGGGGTAAGAAAAGGATGACATCACCTAAACAAATGGACATTTTAGCTTAGAGTGCTTTTTATGCTTTAACTGTGAATTCAGAAGAATTGGAATTATCAATATGCACATACATTTTGTCAAATAAGTCGCCTTGTCACAAGCCAATTCTGAAATTCTTAATTCCTGACACACCCTTCAATAAAGCCCTGCCACCAGAGATTGTCATCCGTCAATAAACAAAAAGCCTGAAACAGACTTCTAGCTATGAATTTGTAGTTTAAAAAAAAAAAATCTTGCACATTTTTTTTCCCCTCCAACTTGCTAGACAGTGCTTCTTCATGAGGCTAGTTAAGCAAAAATAATTTGACCATGTACTCTCTAGATAAATATTTTGATTAAAATTGGACATGGCTAGCATTTTTAAAAGGATGTAGCGGCCACTGTTTACCTAAGCTCGAGTCTGAGGGAAGATAGGACACCCTTGAAATAATTTACTTAGAGTTTTATTACTCTACAGATTGCCCTAAAATTTTTTAATTTTTAGAGAAAGGATTCTCTTCCCTAAGTAAGCCGGTCCGTAATGCAGACAAGGCATTTAAACCAGAACTTCTCTTTTCTATTTTCTTTTTGAAAAGAGGAAGCGACATTCCCAGTTTGCCTGCTTTGTAGAGGAAGCCATAGGTAATCTCCAAGGATGTTAAATTTAGCCTGTGAAAGTGACATACAGGGGAATTCTTCATGTGAGTCTAGAAACCTTATTTTTATCTCGTCAGCTGAGCCTCCTTTTTTCTTTTTCCTCACTGCGGTATTGCAACAATCTCGGTTTTCTTCTTAACTAGGAATTCCCTATGAAATGACATCCATCCACTAAAGGGTGTTTCTGCGTGGTGCCAGGGCCTTTGCCTCCTTGCTCCCGTAAATGTGCGCTTTGTTAGGGCTGGGCTGAGCTATTAAATTTGCCTTAACTATCCGCAGACTGCCGTGCCAATTACATTTTTAGAGTAACGTGTAATATTAATCTGACCTTCAGAAATACAGAGGTCAGGTGTGGATTTTCCTAACACAAAGCTAACTCTCTTCCTTACATTTAGTGCCAGAAGAAAAAAGTACCATTAACCTTGGTTGAGCTAATAAGCTAATCAATTACAAAACCACATAGAAGGCTTAGCCATCCTGCCCTTCCCACCTTCAGGAAAGAATTCCTACCATTTGTGAAGATTTGGGTTTTGAGTGGGGTTTTTTTTTCCGCTGCCTCATAGTCCAGGTACAGTTTTAAGTGATGACAGTTTATGGGGAACAATTATTTATAAATAAAAACATTTTATAAGTAGTTTCCCCAACTGGAAGAAGGGAGGTCATTAATATTGCACCAGGAAATCATGGGCAGAAATCACCCATGCCTTCGTGTGTTCAGATACAACAACTGTGAAGGTTGAGATCTGGGAGAATTAGGAGCCTCATGGACTCCTATATTCTCAAAAGAATTGTGAGATAAATCCCTGCTTTAGCTCCCTAATGCATGTACATTTAGTGAAAGCACAAGAAAATAATTATCTGTCCCTTCTGTACCCGACCAGAGTCTCCAGAGGGCTCTGCTGGTGCAGCAGCACAGGTGTGGGATCTTCCCTCCAAGGCCTGCAGTCTCAGTTGACATTCCAATGTAGCCAGAAAGGAGACCTACGAATTAACGGGAGGATGGTGGCCATTCGTTTAGGAGTGTAGAGAGGCTGTGTGGGGTGTTGTGACATTGCCGTGCCTTGCAGATTAGGTGAGCTTTCAATCTCTCTTTAAAAGGGGCGGCGAAGAGGACCCGCAGGCTGCAAGGAGCAACAGCGATGGGTAGGCACATTCAAACCAGAAAACCTTTCTAACACACACACAAACATGAAGATCATACTGGGAAACTGAGGGCAGAGACCTGGGAAGAAAGCACAAGTCATTTAAGGGCCATCAGCCATCTTGGTATACGTTTGCAAATGACACAGACGATGTCTTAATATTTCAAAGCACGTGAAGTGCAAAACAATTTTTTTTGGCCATCCTTAAAGTATAATTAGATCCAGCTGGGGGAAAGTTATGGATTTCAGCGTTAGATGATCGGTTTAGGATTTTGAGAATTGATGTTTTTCCACATGGTTTCTGTTTCCCCCCAGCTCTCCATTTGAATTGGCTACGTGTCTTTAAAACTGTCTACTAAATTTCATTTCATCAATGGTTGGTCTGATTTTAAAATTTCAGACCTCCTTGAAAAAAATAATACTTTACCTCTTAAAATACATGGTGCCGCACTGTCCTGAGTTTTGAAAAAAAAGTTCGGCCCGTTGGAGGAGGTCATTGTTCAGAATGATCTCGAAAAGCCTTTGGTCTTTTAAAAATTATCAAATTTATTTTTATTCAAGGTATTTTATGTTAGCTAGTGGATAGGAAATTAACGATGGCATCCATCTTTTTTTTTTTTTTCCATTCATTATCAATTTTTTTTCCCACTTCCTGCATCCCCCCTACTCATCACATGCAAACACACACACACGCATGCCAGGTAACCCATTCTGGCTCTGCTTGCATATTCAGCATGCAGTGATGGAGCAGCCATTTCTCATGAGAACATGCAGAGCTCATTGACCTAGCCTAGAGCATCTCAAAGAAATAGCTTCTGTGGCTGGGGAGGGGCGGGGCAAAGGATATTGGGGTCAGGACAAAGTAACTGACACATGTTTGTTCATCTGTTTTTTTTAGAATATATTATCCCTAGATGATGGCTACAGTTTCTCATCTTCCCGGCTATGTCCTATCACACTTTGCATGCTGGAATTGCCTGGTCTTAGGAACTTCTAATAAGAATAATATTCTGTTGTCGGGGGGGAGGGGGGATGGGGCCCTACCACCTAACCTCTAAAGATAACTGGAACCAAAAAAAACGGAATGAAATCCTTAATTGGCAAAAATGTAGTGTAGCAACAGTCCAAAAAAGGCATCTACGTAAAAAGTGATTGACAGTTTACTGTACCAAAAGTTGGCATTTGAGAAATATGACAAGTCCTTATTGAACAACCTACTGTGTACTAGAAGCTGTGCTAGACCCTTGAACCCTACTAACACCTTGCCTGCACTTCTATCTGTGACTCTGTTCTACAAGTAAATATAAGTATTAACGTACGTGATAAATAAAAATTCTCTGCATGTTTCAGCAATCCCTGTATCTTGCGTCTGTCTTCTGTCTTTCTTCTTTTGTCTGTCTTTTCCCACAAAAGCACAAAGATAAAGGTATAGAACTGAATGAAACTTAGTACGGCATAGCCTTCCCCTACCACTTAGTTAGCCCAAGGGGTAGGGGGGTGGCTCCTAAAATTCGAACCCAGCTAATCTGTTTTATACTTAGGGGAGGAATTGCAGGGGGCTGGAATATCCTAAACGTACTTCCAGCCCCAGCCCCAGTTTTTTAGTCCATCAGAATTCTAGCAATTGATATATATTTTGGCTTTAAGTACTTCAGAGACGTCTGAGAAATTTTCTTTAAATTTCACAATCAGTGTTAAATTCATTAAGCCATAGTAAAAATGATGATAAACCTGCCAGCCCCCAGTATAATGGCTCCGTCTACGTAGTAGTGGCTTCAATGGAAGAATTTTACGTTTTAGTGTTACACACCCGAATTAGATTTCAGATTTCTATTTTAGATGTTTTATACTTGATACACTCCCACACCTATTCACATACGTAGATGAATACTGAACATGTTCTCAAAATATCCGTATCTAAGACTGGAAGTTTTCCAATCATACTACTGCTTAGACCAGAATGTCAAACTGAATGAACGAACCTCGTTTCTGGAAATACTTTTCTCCTGCCATATGTACATTTGGGTATTTAATACTCGGACATATCTAAGTTTTAACTATTGTGGGACCTTAAAACCAAAGGTTAATGGCTCGCATTACCATGGAAATGGAGCCTGTTTTTAATGAATGGGAATGGGTTTGTCCTATGGAGTTTTAGGTAAATTTAAATTCATAAGTGAACATTAGGGACAAACAAACGTCCTTTTAAAACTCGAACGTCTAAATAACTGATTTTAGACTACAGCACCAAGTCTGGACATCAGTCCTAATTTCAGAAACGAGCTTCAATTCTGCACACGCAGAGCCAAAAAGCCCACTTAGTGGTCAGGACTCCCGGTCCCTTTAAATATCAAGTGGCTGTGTTGAGTCTGGGGGCCGGAGTCCGACTTCGGATGTGGGCACAAATTCCCCACTTCTGGTTTGCAGCACACCCCTCGCTGTCATATCTGCTCTCAAGTTCTCCTGACTCACAGCACTTTTATTTAGATGGCCATGAGGGGGTTTCTGGTACCATCTGTCACCCCCCACCCCAAAACATGCACACCCTCAAGAGCTGACAAGAACAGCACCTCTAAACTCCTTATTCCCATATAAAAGGAGCAGTGTCTCAACAGCCGATTAACAGAGGGCTGATCCTGGAAATAGGTGAAGTGAGATCATTTAGAAAATGAGGGCCACCCCTCAAATAAATATGCAAACATTTACTTTGAAAGAATAAAATGCTCAGGAAATATTAGCTATTAAAATGATTTGAATAAGGAAAGACCAGGTTCTTCGCAGGGCAGGGCTGTTGGCAGGTGAGCACACGACCCCCTCAGTGATCCCCGCACCCCGAGATCTACCTTTCCCAGGCCCCAAGAACCACTCGGCCGGGCTGCAGGTGCTGTTAATCCCCTTGGCATTTCCTCTACGTTGATGTTCTGTTGTGTTCTTCTCCAGAGGGGTTACGTATTGAATTTCTACCTGCATCCTATGACTCTAGGTGAATCAACCAAGTGAATGCTTCAAAAATTGAGAATCGCACAATTTTTTTTGAGTTACACACAGCAGGAAATAGGCTCTGTCCCTTCTCCTCCCTCGTGGCTCAGACTTGCCCTCTCTCAGCCTCAGTTTCTCCCCCTGTTAGGCTAGCACCTTAGTCCCACGTGACAGTCACGTCCCAGGGCCTAATACACAGTAGGTGTGTTGTGCAGATTGGTTCCATTTCCCCCCACTGCAAAACCAAGAAGTGAGGCAGGGTGCGTGGATGTGGCACGATTGATACCCCAAGCAAAGTGTCCTTATCCCCTAAAAACACAAACTCAGGAATTTTCCCTGGCTGTGCCTCAGGTGAAGGGCAGTTTCTGCAAGACACAGCATTTTTGTTGATGTCACCGGGTACAAACATTCCATCAGGGGACCCTAGAAGCCAAAGGGTGTGGCCTTGTGGTCCCAGTGACAGAACATAGAGCGTTACACACACCACACAGGCCATCCTGTATGTCCAAGTTAAAATCAAAATTAAGAAGCCACAAAACCTCTAATCTCTACCTAACAGAGGGACCCCCCCACACCCCACTGTGCATAAGTCCCAGATCGTAAAGACTTCCAGAGGCAGAATGTTTATTCCTGTTCACCTCAAGGGATCGGTGTGTATTAACATCATCAACTAGAAACGTCATTCGTTGCTGCTGACTGCAGTGACAGACACACGATGACTATTTAAATAAGTAAATAACAGGGCCGCAGAAGCCCTGAAATCTGTAACTGACACCACCCCCTGCACTCACTGGTTCTCAGCATACTGCCCAGTGGTGGAGTAAGCCCCAAGTCGAACCAGGAAACTTTCTCCTCCCCAACCCCACAATGAGGTACCCCACCCTCCCCCCAAAAACAGGGATGTCGTTAAGGGCGCATAGGAACCTTTTAGGAAGCGTTGGTGTGCAGTGGGGGCTTCAAGTAGATGGAACCACTTCTGAAACAGTAAATGAACACGTCCGACTTCGGTACAGTAGCCTTGATCATTATCTCGATGCCAGTTTGCTAATCTGCCCCAAATCGGGTGTGTCCTTGGGACACATTTGGGAGGTTATAATTTGAAACCACCTTTATCCAGGAACCTCCAATCTCTGCACATATCTGAACCCACAACTCCTTCAAGAACAGAATACTATGCTTTTAGTTGGAATATCTTGGCTAAAGTGACACTGCTAGTTGACGTGTTGCAATATGATTTTCTTTTTTCTTTTCAATCCCACTGTAGTGAGAAGGCAACGAAGGTGCAGGACATCAAAAACAACCTGAAAGAGGCCATTGAAGTAGGTGCCCGGGTCCTCTCTCATTCTCTTAGCCTCCCCTTCAGACAGTGCCATCCCCCTGACCACTTTGCTAAATCCCTTTCAGACCATTGTGGCCGCCATGAGCAACCTGGTGCCCCCTGTGGAGCTGGCCAACCCTGAGAACCAGTTCAGAGTGGACTACATTCTGAGCGTGATGAACGTGCCCGACTTCGATTTCCCTCCCGTAAGCTAAGACCTCAAACATGCGGCCTCGGACCCCTCCCCTGCACCGCAGACAGGACAGGTGACGAGCCACCAGGTTGGAGCTCTGCTCACCAGTCACCTCCGTACATCACACAGGCACACTGGTGTCAAGCCACACTTCGGCAAAACACAGTGGTATTGACTCTTAGGAAAGTTAATTCTGTAAGGATGCTTAATGTTTAAAAAAGAATCACTAATGATCATTAGGGCTTTGCTCAAGATGGATGAGCAAAATTCTATCACCCCTTGTAAATCTTGGCTCACTCGTCCCCACAAGTAAACATCACATTTTAATATTAAAACTCTTGCTTTATTAGATTATAAATTTTTATGATGGAAAAAGTCATGAGTTGTGGTAGCCTTAATTGTTCCCTCATACACATCTTGTGACAGACAAAACTCTGTTAAATATGGCAGACAAATGCTAATTGTCCAGTTAATTGAAAGTATCCTAAGATACCAAGGAATGCAGAAATGAAATGCCAGCTCTGATATTCTTATCTTAAACAGTTTACTATTTAACCTTTATTAAGGTATTTTTAAAAGTAGTCCATGCCTCTGGGCAAATGAAATCTATTCTCATTATTTAAAAAAAAAAGACTTAATCTAAATTGTAACTCAGATTTTCTTCTGTGCTCCCTGGCTGCGTGCATGGCACTGTTTGGAAAGATTTGTCTGCTCCATAAAGAAATATTTTTAGGGAACACAAAACTGCCCGTGCCCGGGCACATACATTTTGACCCCTTTGTGGGCGAAGAAGCGTTTATAAGAGGGAACGGGAAACAAGATGGAAAGATGTGTGAGTTTATAAGGCCTAGAAGGAAGAGACTTGTCTACAGTGAAAACAATGAGTTACTGTTGCCTTTTGTCAGGCTTTCGTGGGAATTCGTGTTTGTGTATTTTAAATGGGTTTGGCTGTAAACTTAAACTAGCGGGAAAGCAGTATCATTAAATATGGCTAGGTAAATTTTTATAAATAGCATTTGTCTGAAAAAAATTCAAGCAGTAAGCACAATATACACAGTACAACGCACAGACTTTTTCGTGAAATATGGTTCTATATTTCTAACAGGAGAAGAAAAAGTGGCAGTCTATTAAAAATGCCCCAGAACAGTAAACTTTTATTAGTCCTACTGATAACTGAACTTTATGTTCTCACCTACTTTTAATCCTTCTCTTGATAAATTCATATTGGAGAAAAACCTCCTCTTTCCTTGTAAGGGAAGATTGCCCCCATATAATTAAAAATGTTTTTATGTTCCAATGAAATGTGAATCATGACCTAGTGGATTTAAAACAACTCCGAGGTTATTTGCTTCTTCCTATACAACCTTCCACACAGGGACAGGCACTGGCGAGGCCAGATTTGCCAAAAAAGGTTTACCTAGCCCTACTTATTAATACTGCTTTCCCACTAATAAAGGTTTACAGCCAAACCCATTTAGAATACACAAACACGGATTCCCACAAAAACTGACAAAAGGCATAATAAAGAGATCTGCTGTAATATTTTTTGGTAAAATTCAGATTTTCCTACAAATGAAATTTCTTGTTTTCACAACACTGAATCATTCATTGACATGTTCTCCTAACAGATTAGCATATATTCTTCCTATTCTTTCCTGAGGAAACAAAATCAGTCAGTAGTTATTGTCCCCTTCCCCCGCCCCCCAAAAAATATAGGAGGAAAACTACCCAAGACCAGTAATTGCCAATAAGAGGAGATCAGCAGGAATTAAATACTTCAACTTTTTAATATGTTTAACAGGTTGAATGAAAGTTCTCCAGGTGAATTAATTCCTTAATTTGGCTTGTAATTGGGCATCACACCCACTGTTGGTCATATCGTGAACTAGGGTCTCCGAGTTCTGATGACGGTGTTCTTGAACTGGTGCAAGCTCGTATCTTGACACGTTCTTTCCCGGGTTCACTTTCAGGAATTCTACGAGCACGCCAAGGCTCTGTGGGAGGACGAGGGAGTGCGTGCCTGCTACGAGCGCTCCAACGAGTACCAGCTGATCGACTGCGCCCAGTAGTAAGTCGATGCTCCCCCACCTCACAGGACACAGGCACAAACAGAGAAGATGCCAAAAACCTCGACTCTCGCTTTCAAAGTTACTTGCAAATGAGTTCTTTTTGTAGAAGCCAGCCAGTTATTCCCACCTGCCGTTAGAAAGTTCTAGTCTGATTCACTTGTTTTATAAAGCCCTTAATTGTACTTTTTAGTGCAGTGACATTATTTTATATGAACAATTAATGCCTGTTAGAGCAAAATGATAATTACTTGCAATAAAGTGATGGTCATAATTAATTAGCTTGAAGTAACTAAGTGAATTGACCTCCAAGCATTTAGGGAGATAGGGCAGCTCTCACACTGGGGATCATATAGAAGTATTATATTTTATTGCTGTAATTTAAAAACAGAGAGAGGAACAGAAAGCACAAACACATGCACCCCCTTCCTTGGTACCTGAGAACTGCTTTGCTATTTGTGCTGTCAGGTAAGTGACTCCAGTAGCTGCCAGGGTCCAGTATTACTAGGGCATGTTCCTCTGGAGCTGGGCCTTGTGTTGAGTTTCATTTCCTATCCTTATTCATTCATACGGGGCCTTAATTCAAGGGTGCTCCCCCCCATGGGTCCTCACTCTGTCCCTTCATGGGCTCTCTTCCAGTGAACATGGCACACATGTGGGAAGTTGCCTTGTAAATAGTTTACGCCCTCCCTCATCCTGTACATGATAGCGTAAATATATGGTGGTCAGAGCCATAAAAAAAATTTAAAGAAATCTTTTGTTTGCTGATGTGGCACAAAGTGGTCTCACTTATGATATTCTGAAGTTAGAGTGTCTTTTGTGACTCGGGGGTACAATAGGTATGTGTGATGTTGCAGTCTCTCATGTAAGTAGCTGAAACTCAGAAACGAGTTTGCTATAGAAAATATTAAGTCATCAGGACCAAGGTACCAGGCTGGCTGGCAAAAAGCTAAAATTGCATTCCTTGGGAGCCCTAAGCCTGAGGAACTTATTGTGAAAACCAGTTGAATAAATAGGAGGGAGGAGGAGGTAACAGCAATCAGGCAGCACACAAAGCGAGTTGCCTAGAATGCGCCCGCAGATCACAGGTTAGGGGCTGGTGGATCTGTGGGTTCTCGCTCGCTGCCTCTGCTTTCCCATAGGAAGGTGCATCTGATGATTTTCAGTGGTCACATAGAGAGCCATTTCATGGTTTAATATGCAAGCAAATTTGTATATTTTTTCAAGGAACAGAAAAACAGTCCATCGTGGCCAGTCCCTGTGACCCCCACCCCCACCCCCTCTTCAACAAAGTGCCTGATTTTCACAAAAGTTTGAACTAAAAGCTGGAAGTGCTAATTATAGTAACGCAAAACAAATGGAAATCCTGGAATTGTTTGCGTTTTGTATTTTGGATCCAAGTCAGAAGTACAGGTACAAGATTAGGAGAGTTGGGCCATCCCAGTGTTGACTGTTGTGGAAGCGGGTGTAGGGTGTATTAACTTCATTAATGAACAATTTAGCCAGGTTTTTTTTTTTTTTTTTAATCTCACACCATTTAAAAGATTTTTTTTTGAGCAACATTAAATTACTCCTGCAACTTTATCTGAAAATGGCAACATTTGCACCGTTTATGGAAAGTTTTTAAGGAAACTCGGAGAAAAGGAGAACAACAGAGCTTAAAACTTTTAAAATGTCTTCCCTGGTGGGACGATTGAAACAGCCTTGCCTGTGCACTGACCAGGATGTTTCTGGTCTGACTGCCTTTATGTTAAAGTTGAGATGCTGGTGCCTTGCCCATTTCTTAAGCCGCCTGTTTTTATTTGTTGAGCTGGGGTTTGGCTGGCCCCAGTCCAGATGTCTCTCTCACAAGATTTGGTGCTGATGATCTATTTATAGAACTGTGGTTCGGTTGCCATGGCAACGCGCTGGAGGCCAGGGCGGCTGGGGAGCTATTTCTGGCCTGGTGCTGTAATGTAAGACTGATTGGGCAAGTTAGTGTATCCTCCGAGCCAGACTGACTCGAAACTGGTAAAAAGGAAGGGGGAAAAAAAAACTTATAGAATTTCTTTAAATAGACTTTTCTCCCTTTGTGATTTTTCTTTTCTGATAGCCCACTTGAAAACAATTCCAGCTCCCCCACCCCTACCCCAAAAAGCCGGTTTTAACATATTCCACATTAGTTTAGAAGTCTAGTCTTTCCAAAGTGATTTTTCCTTAGGTGTGTCTAGTCGAGCAACACCAACAAGAGATTTTTTTGCTTTGGGAAAAGTTAGAGCTGTGGAGAGGGAGGTGGGCAACAGCGCTTCTCCACGGAGAGCTTTCTTGTCAAGACTACCGTCTTGTCATGGACGGTAGTCTCCAAGACCCCAGGCCCCTTGCTGTGCCTGCTGCCCGCCCAGAGGAGGACCCACAACCTGGATGGTGTGAGGTTTTTTTTGAAAACTAAAAGTTTCATGTCTGGAGCGTTCTATTTCATGGACCAAATAGAACGGAAGGGAACTTCATGTTTGTTTCCTGTTCGGTGTGGTTAGGACAAAAAGGGCCCTTTGTGGCAGCTTCTTTTGTTCTCTTTAATAACTGACATTCTTAAAAAGTAGAAGGAAGGGATACCCATGCTGAGTAACTCAATCTCATTTTCATTAGTCCCTTGGGGGAATAATCCTTCTTTTAAATATGCCATTTTTCTTTTTTTTAAAAACACTGAATGATGTGGAAGTATACAGTTTTCAGACTACTTGCCATTATGTTGTCCCAAGCCAAACAATCTGAAACTTTAACTTTTTAGTCAATCAGTATCAAATGGCACAAAATCTGATAGGTGCCTGATTTTGGGCCCTCTGCTGGTTGATTTGTACAGAACCAACCTTTCAAAATTAAAACAAGACCAGAGCCACCCCCAACCAGTGCTCTGTGCTGTACCTGTAGGCCAGGGGCCCTGAGAGCCTCGTTCTTGATTCCTAGATCTACTCGTCAGCCAAATATGTTTATCTTTGAAAGGTTAGAACAAGCAGAATTTAAGGCATAAGCTTTGAGTCATAAATGTAACCAACACAAGCAAAATTCCCACCAACTTAATGCCGTATAATGGTGGGATGATCATTTCCATTTGGCTTGACTTTGTAGAGAGACAGGAGTAGTGGACAGGTTGGCGTAAGCTCTCTGAACACCCCCTTGTGCCTTTCTTTTCCTCCCAGCTTCCTGGACAAGATCGATGTCATCAAGCAGGCTGACTATGTGCCCAGCGATCAGGTATGCAAAGGTTCTCACAAGCAGAGGACTTGGAGCCCTCTTTCCAAGATAGTCAAGATTTTTGCTCCAGATTGGAGATTATTCATATTTCTGTTGGTGAGATCCGTTGACATAGATTTTGTTTTAGGATCTGCTCCGCTGCCGCGTCCTGACTTCTGGAATCTTTGAGACCAAGTTCCAGGTGGACAAAGTCAACTTCCAGTAAGTGAATGGTTCCCTTTTAAAAAACGGAGATGATAGGCTCTTGGTGTTCCCTCTGGCGGTTAGAGTGCTGGACCAGCGTTAGCCCTCTGCAGTGACCTGGTGTTGTTTCTCTGCTGCAGCATGTTTGACGTGGGTGGCCAGCGCGATGAACGCCGCAAATGGATCCAATGCTTCAATGGTATGGAAGTCAGTGGGCTTCTCTGCTCTTGAGGGATATGTTGCTTTTTTAATTGTTAAGGATCATTTTCGCTTCTAACATGCATGGCCTTTTTTGCTGAAGATGTGACTGCCATCATCTTCGTGGTGGCCAGCAGCAGCTACAACATGGTCATCCGGGAGGACAACCAGACCAACCGCCTGCAGGAGGCTCTGAACCTCTTCAAGAGCATCTGGAACAACAGGTTGGTGGAGTGACTGCCTGGTTCCCTCCCGGCTGCTCGCCCAGGAGCCCCATTACTGATCTCAGGGCTCTGTCTTTGCACTGTTACGGAAAAGAATCTTGGGCAAGTTCTCGTGCAAGCATCCCAAAGCCCTTGCAGAAAGAATGCTTCCTTTTCCTGGGCAGTGATTAAACCTGCTTCCCTCTTGGTTAGATGGCTGCGCACCATCTCTGTGATTCTGTTCCTCAACAAGCAAGACCTGCTCGCTGAGAAAGTCCTTGCTGGAAAATCGAAAATTGAGGACTACTTTCCAGAATTTGCTCGCTACACTACTCCTGAGGATGGTACGTATGGCCTTCTGCAGTTGATTAGCACACGTTTCAACTTACTGGCCCTATACAGTCATGCATGTTAAAAACTTCCATTCTTGGAGGTTGTTCATTTAGGTGAATTTTAGAAATCACCTAAATGAACAACCTCTAAGAACAGAAATCTTCCCCCCCACCCCCAACTATAAATGCTCTGTAGGGGAAGCAAGAAACCTTATTTCCACTCATTTGCATATGGAGAAACCCAAGAAGTGAAGGGGCTGCAATAATGCCAGTGCTCTAGCTCTGCTCCAACCTTTTAACTACCTTCAGTAGCAAAATATTTATATTCTTTGTAGCTACTCCCGAGCCCGGAGAGGACCCACGCGTGACCCGGGCCAAGTACTTCATCCGCGACGAATTTCTGGTGAGTAGAGACTGTCTTTAGTTCTCTTTGCTTGTCCTCTTAAGGTTATAAGTTTACTTAATTCTAAATTTGGGGATTAAACTATCCAGTTCTTCGGTTTTATCTCACTGATGGCCAGTGTGAAGTTGAGCGTTTGTGCCCCTTTACTTGGTTTTGTTTTAACCATAGCTGGTCAACAGTCCTTGGTCGGTGTCCCCGTCAGTGACAGGAGGTTTCTACAGAGGTGGCGCTGACCGTGTTTCCCTATGTTTGTGCCACAGAGAATCAGCACTGCTAGTGGAGATGGGCGCCACTACTGCTACCCCCACTTCACCTGCGCTGTGGACACGGAGAACATTCGCCGTGTGTTCAACGACTGCCGTGACATCATCCAGCGCATGCACCTTCGTCAGTATGAGCTGCTCTAAGAAGGGAACCCCCAAATTTAATTAAAGCCTTAAGCACAGTTAATTAAAAGTGAAACGTAATTGTACACGCAGTTAATCACCCACCATAGGGCATGATTAACAAAGCCACCTTTCCTTTCCCCCTCGAGTGATTGGCGAAATCCCTGTTCCCTTCAGCTTGCTTAAATATATTCCAAATTTAGAAAGCTTAAGGCGGCCTACAGAAAAGAAAAAGGCCACAAAAGTTCCCTCTCTCTTTCAGTAAGTAAAATAACAGCAGCAAACAGAAATAAAGAAAGAAATGAAATAAATATCGTCTTGTGGAGCATTAAAAAAAATCAAAATAAAAATTAAATGTGAGCAAAGGACATGGCTCCTGTAGGTTATTTGCGGTTTTGAGCAAACGCCCATTGTTCATGGATTTGACTGCATCAAAAGTTGGGAGGCCACCTGTTGAGGTGACAAGGCCCCAAGGTTATATGTGGGTGGAGAATCTTGCCCTTACAGGTTTTTGTTGAGCTAATCTTTGGGTTTCTGAAAACAATTTGCAGACAACACAAAATGTCCACCCCATCCTTCTCCCACTCTCATGCCTCAGAAAACCACTAGCCCTGTCGAAGAATTCTACACTCTGATCTTCGCTGCCCTATCCAAAGATTCTACCAACTTATGCCCCTATACGGGGTCACACCGTGTGCCTGTTGACCCAGGGTCTCCCCAAAATAGGTGATAGTTTTTTGACTGTCCAGCTCTTTAAGATATGGACTCAAGTATATGGGGGAAATTTAGGAATGCAGTGTTTCAAATCAGGGAAAGGGGGGTTATTCAAGAAATGGTGCACAATATATACGTATATTAAATCACATTGTACACTTTAACTTAACAGTTTTGTCAGTTATACCTCAGTTGGGAGGAAAAATGGAATAAGAGCTATCAAATAAAAAGAAAGCAATGGTATTAAAACTGGCTAGCCATTTGGGGAAAAATTTAAGCTGGATCCCTACCTCATTCCCTACAGAAATGAATTCAATGTGGGTTGATCACATATGTTTAAATACAAAAAGGTACTTAAAAGTGGCTCTTTTCACAAAGCATTGGTTTATAGAAGTCCTCTCTAAGCATGACCTAAGATCCAAAAGCCACAAAGGGGGGAAAATGGACTGTACAAAAAGTCACATATAAAACAAACTGAATGGGGGTGGGGACTGGGTAAAAATCTGTAACAAAGGGTTAATTTCCCTAATAAGCGAGGAGCTCTGAAGAATTAATAAGCAAACCCATCACGAAAATGGGCAAAGTACATCAACATGCAATTTACTCAAAAGAAAAATTGGGGAAAATGTGGAACTTAACTCATAATGAAATGAAATACAAATGAAGCAGACTTCCGCCATTGTTGGGGGAGGGGTCAGTCATCACACATGGGCCCCCACAGCAAACTTAGTGAACCCATGACGGATTGTGGCTTGGACCCAAGGTCCACTTGGGGTCCCTAGGTCTTCACCCTCAGGTTCATCCCTTAAGCTGTGGTCACCCTGGTGTGGCTTCCTGGATGGGTAGGGGGAAGAGACCAGCTTGTCCCCAGCATCAACAATTACACTCTCTGAAACTGGCTGAATGGGACACTAATCAAGCTGATTCTGTAATTCAGGCCAAAAATCCACTTCCTGTTCTGTTTTCCAGATCAAATTAATCCCAGCCAAATTAATTATGGAGCATAGTTTACCAGAGGTGAGAAAAATGAGCCCCAAGGAGGGCAGAAAAAGTAGCAAATACTCTTATCTCCATAAACCTTCCCAAAGCTTCCCAAGTAATATTCAGTCCACATAAAAATCATATGCTTGCTTTGCACATTTAGTTACAAAACAGCCCTCAAAAGCCTCCCCCAAATTAACACAATCCCCAAATTAACATACAATCTACATAAGTGCTTGCCATGCAAATATAGCCAGAAGACCAGGCAAAAAATTCCCTTAACCTCCAAAGTATTCCAAATAAACGCAACTAACTAAAACCTAGACACCAGCTTTCAAGTGTAACTACAGCATCAGCCCACCACACAATCATCCGTCCATGTAAGGGCTGTGTTAACGGAAAATAAAAGTTTGACACCAGACCCATAGCGCCTCTTCCAAGATGGCCGCCTGTATGCCCCCCCACATAGAAATTCTGGAACCTTCTCTGAATAATCCACTTAAGATTGCCACAGCAGTAGCCACTTATTCATCAACATTAGAAAACAAATTCCCAGGCCATAGAACAGTTATACCAAAAAAAATTGATGCTCTAGAACCCCCACCCCTGCTGGTCAAAACTGGCAGACACGGGCCGGCCCTGTGGCTTAGCGGTTAAGTGCGCCCGCTCCGCTGCTGGCGGCCCGGGTTCGGATCCCGGGCGCACACCAAGGCTCTGCTTCTCGGGCCATGCTGAGGCCGCGTCCCACATACAGCAACTAGAAGGATGTGCAGCTATGACATACAACTATCTACTGGGGCTTTGGGGGAAAAAATAAATAAATAAAATTAAAAACTGGCAGACACTTTGTGATAACTTCTGGAAGAAGAGTAATGAAAGTCACAGTTATCCCACACCTATCATGTGCCAGTCACTGCCCAATGAGATAGGCTTGGCTGTTACGCCATTTTACCAGTGAGGAAATGGAGGCCTAGAGAGGCCAGAGTAACTAGCCCCAAGAGACATAGCTGGTAAGCAGGGAAAATGGGCTTCAAACTAGGTAGCCAGAGTCCACTGCTTGACCACAGCACTATAGTGTCTCTCTGGAGGATCCGGAAAAAAAAGGAAAAGGTCTCCTGGTGTTCTTTCCAGGATGCCAGTTGTCGGGATTCCCTGACCGGTGACCCCAAGCGGAAATCCTGCAGGGCTGCGTTGGATTCCATATCCAGTGGTGATGATGGGGTAGGGAAGTGGGTGGCGGAGGGGGAAAGGGGTCCTCTTCCCTCAGATGGTGGCGTTGGGCGCACTCCTGCCTTCTCCCCAGTTCAGAGGTTTGCCGTGGGGCCTCTCCAGTCACTCAGATGTGTTTGGGGTTCCTTCTCTTCCTTAGGATTCATCCCTTCTATCTAAAACGTTTTCATTAACATTTTCCCTCTGATCTGATTCCAACCATAACTTTTATAGGTCTACTTTAAAATCTGAATTCCAGGAACTTCAGAAAGCAGAAAAATTATGAAGAATTTCATCTAAATCTTTGATTACAAGAAGCCATTGGTTTTAAAATTTCCAGCTGAATTTTACATCTCTGTTCAAAGGTAAAACAACATATTTTTCTAAAGGTAACAATTTGTGCCACACTTTCTACAAGTGTATAGGCCAAATATTATAAATAACTATTTGTTGATCTTTTAGAGATTAAAAGATAATAATAATGAACTACTGAGCCCCCTGATGAGGCCTAATATGAAGTAGGTGTAGAATTGGGCAGATGTTTTATCCACCTTCACTTTTATTTAAATGTGGGCAAAATTATACCAAAAGAAATGGCCACCTCTGCACAGCCCTATGTCAAATGTCACTGTTTTGTCATAATGGTTTCTTGGACATTTTTGGTCATTTTTTTATTCAGCAAATGTGTAGAGAGTACGGAATCTGTGGCTGCCACTGGGAGTTCTGCTCTCATGGGGTTTATATTCTATCAGGGGAGACATGCATTTACCAAATCAATAATCAAAAGAATTACAAATGGTGACGAGGTCTCTGGGCTGATAAACAGGGTGGGGGCAATAGGGAGTGGGAGGTATTTGGGGAGGGATTCTACTTTAGATAGAATAGCCAGGGAAGGCCTCTCGGAGGAGGTGACTTTTCTTATGGCATACAAAGGATGAGACAGAGCTAGCCATCCAAACATAGCTAACATCACTATTTTTGATTAATATTAATTATTAAAACATTATAATGAAGATTTATGGAGCTCTTTACCACGTGCCAGGCACTGTCCTAAGCCCTTTATATGGATTATCTCATTTAACCATTTTGAAACCCTACGAGGATGTACCCTATCATCTGTACAAGATGTACCCAATCTGTACCCCCACTGCACAAAAATGAAAAAGGCAAATTACACCTAATACATTGTGAGTACTTTATGCAAATTATGCTTTTAACAATGGTTACACTAAAAAGGCCAGTGCGATAAGCACTTAATTTAAGTAGGTGCTACCCAAGTTCCTATTTTAGAGTGGGGGAATTTGATGTCTCTATGATAATTTTCCTGTGTTTAAACATTCGTATACTAGGAACAACTAAATTTTTCTGGTTTTGCCTATCTTATTCTCTGTATCAGGAATGTGTTCAGCTGCAAATAACAGAACCCTGACTTGGAGTGGCACAGACAGAGGCTTATATCTCACCAAGAATTCTGGAGCTAAGTAGTTCCAGGTGTTATTCAGCTGCTCATCAATGGCAGGGCCAATACTTCCACAGTTCTCTGGGGCCTCTCGATTGTGGTTGCAAGATGATATCATGTCTTAGCCCAAGGCAGAAAGGAGAGGAGAAGGACAGCCCAGCCAATTCTCTCTTTTATCAGGAATGCAAATGCTTTGTAGGTGCTCTTCCTCTAGATACACATAGGTAGCAAGATACGCATAGATACTAGATAGCAAGATAGTTAGATGGCTACTAGATAAATAGCTAGCTAGCTAGACAGACAGAAAAGTGTCTGTTCAATAACACTATTACACACACATATGGAGGGATTTATAATTTTCTGTTGCATGGACTTGATGGAACATCTAGAAAAATAAATCCAGTTCCTGTAGCTTCCAAGGATTAGGGAAGATAACAGGTAAAAAACTTTCAAATTGTAAGAGACTAATTTGCATAATTCTATGTAAATCAGTTTGAAAGCCTAGATGAAATAGATAATTGTCCAGGAAAATACTGTTTATCAAAAACTGACCTCAATGGAGACCAAAAAAATCTAAGCAGACTAGTTACCATAGAAAAAAATACAGAGTCTAGTTAGAGAGCACCATGACAGAACAGCTCCAGGCTCTTATTGGAGTGGAAGCCAGCGACTGGAAGGAAACATGAGGGAGACCTCTGGAGTGTAGTGTCTTTTTTTTTAATCTAAATGCTGATTAAACAAATATATTCCATTTGAGAAAATTCATTGAACTGTACACCTATGATTTATGCAGTTTTCAGTATGTACATTATACTTTAAAATTTTTTTTAAATGAAGAAAACGAAAAGAAAAAAGGCACCAGACCCAGGTAGTTTTACAGGGAATTCTACTAAACCTTTAAAGGTGAAATAATTCCTTACTACTTAAATTATTCCAGAGTGTAACCAAAGGAAAATTTCAAAATTATTTTTATGAAGCAAATATAACATTGATTCTAAAACA